TTCAGGAAGTTCTTCACTCCGAGGATGGAGTTGACCCATCGAGGCATCAACAGGGCACACATGACGGTAAACTTTCCGGCTTCAGTAAGAGAGGTCGCATACCGGACCAGTGTGTTCTCGGTGCTGCGATCGTCGTTGGCGTTTGTCTCAGTTGCAAAAGCGGCCTAAAATGGTCAACAATCATCAAAATTAGTTTTCAAATAGCCTATTTAAGAATCGGCACTTACTGAGGCGATGGTGTCAATGGTGAAGCCGGCCATCACCTTTTTGGTGTTCTCCAGAAGGCCACCTTTGGCCTTTTCCGGGGCGCTGCTCACCAGGCGGTCAAGGTAGGCCACCAGATGGTCGACACTCTTCTGGACAATGGGCTGCACTGAGCGCAACTTTCCGCTGGTGAAGGCAGGACTGGTGATGCCGCGAATGCGCTTCCAATTGTCGTTTTCAGTAGAGAAGAGCGATATGTTCATGAGTTCTTCGAGAACGTCTGACTTTCGTCGGTTTACAAACTGGTGGAAATCCTATGCAAAAAAATTAAAACTTTTATAAAAAATACATTGACGGTTAAAAAATCGATATTTTTACCTTAACTAGTATATGCTTGATCACCTCAGGATCGGCCACAGTCAACGTGGGTGTGAAAAAAGCGTACGTTCCATAAATTTGACCGTATTTTTGCACCAGCGACACCTCTGTTTTTGGCACATCAGTTGAGCCGGAAATTTGAAAGGCGTTGCCAAATGCAAATACGCTAGGTTTGGGGCCCGACACTGACAAGTTTGACCAGTAGCTGTATTTTTTCTTAACGTACCTGACAATCAAAATAAATTATTTATAAAAAATTATAATAAATTTTGTTTTACTTACAAATACACAATCGCACCAAGTGTTATTAAATTTAAAACAAAAAACCACATTTTAATTTACAGCAATTGAATAAATTGTAAATGACTATTCAATGTACATTAACTCTAACTTGTTTTATATACAATTGCAAAAACAAAAATTCGATATGTGATTAAGTGAAAAACTGTTACAAGTGAAATAATTTTTACATTTGTTAGATTGCAATAGTGTAAATTTCGTACATGCACGATTTATTGTTGCTTTTCATTCAAAACTATAGCTTTTTGTTTAAAAATCGTACATGTACTATTTTTGTGAAAATGTTTATTTTTAACAGTATACTTGATAACTTTTTTTGGCAACAAAAAACAATTAGCAAAATGATTAAAAATATAAATGAAAATGAACACATGCAGAAATTAAAATGAATCAAGTAATAAAATTTACAAAATTAAGTAAAAAATAAAATGCACAATATTACAAATAAAAAGTTATTTCAGAATAGTTGCACAGGTAAAATGATTAGTTTCTTTTTTTAATTTTGCGTTTTTGGTTTGTTGATTTGTCACTATACGGTTGACTAGTTTTAGATTTCTCTTGTTTCATTTTGAGATGATACTTTTTAATCAACTTTTTTAAATCGTTATCAACCCATTCAGTAGTTGAAATCCACCATACTTTCCATTTATTGCTGCCAATGTAGCGGATGCTGTTCATTTGCAAAGCAGTTTTTTCAAACTGTTTATCAAACACAATAGCCAAAACTTCCGCAGTACTAAATATGTTTTCTTGCCAGGCCACTGCTTGAATTGGAAAACCGTCCTCTTTGCCTTTTGCTCCTAACATAGAAATGTTCCAATCCTACAAAATGCAATTGCTTATGAGAAAATATTTGTAATATTGGTAGACAATTACCGTATTTAAAACATCATCTGCAAACGCTTTACATGTTGTGTTTATGAAAAACTCTTGAGTTTTCTTTAACCGTTTAGCTTTCTCTTTGTTTGCGTTGCAGTTTTCTAAAGGTCGCTTACGACAATAGAAAGTTTCGCTAACAAACTTTTGACTCTCTTTTACAATAAGTTCGCAATTGTCATTTTCACATTTTTTGTTAGATGATCTGTCAAAGTTAGCAAAACATTAATATTATGTTTTTAATTCTCAAAACAGTCAACTTACTTAAAATCTGAATCATCAATAGCTTGTGTCTCAGCGTCTTTGAAGTTTTTTGGGTGTTGCTCAATCAGTTGATGATCGGTTTCATTCACACCTTTATCTTCATTCACACTTTCTTCTTCATTCACACCATCATCTTCATTTAGACCATCAGTTTCATTCAGATCAACATTCTCATTTATTAAAATTGTGCTGATTGGTTCCGTGGTCGCATTTTGTTCGGAATGATAATCACTTTTGCTGACTTGAGAATCAACGGAAACTATTTTCAAAACTTCTTTCAATACTTCTTTTTCTAAAAAACTATCATTTTCAGCAAACTTTAAAATGATTTGAAAAATTTCTGAAGTGCTCATTGTTGGACAACAGAGCTTCTGTATTTGAATTATTTTTTCATTTGTCAAATTGTTTTCTTCAGTCAAACTTTTAGGTTTCTGACCAATAAGATGTTTAAAAAGTGAGTTTATCCACTCCAAACTTTGTTTGATATAACTTGCCATGGTTACAATAAGTTTATAAAAGAAAAAAGTTTATTGCAGTGCTGGTTAAATTAATTTCATAAACAATAAACATGATGTCAGTGACTAGAAATTGCACTTAAAAACAAACCATGTAAATTTTACTGATTAGTATGTTTTAAAAATGTTTAATAAATTACAATAACGCATTTCAAAATTTTTATTAATCAAATAAGTTTATTTGTTGATATGTTTATGTTAAAAGCACGATGAGTGTGCTTTCACACTGAGCCAAAAGAAAACCAATAAGGTGCAAACAGTTGTTGCGTAGGAGATGTGTATTTAGTAAAACAGTGTTTACATTTACAGTATTACTATTTTATATATATATTTTATAAGATGTTTTTTGCTTTTCAAAATTTAAATTATAGTTCAAATTTGTAAAAAACATTTAGTTTTACTCAGTTAATTGTATGTTTTTAAACAAAAATAAAAAATTATTAATGTTGTGTGACTAATAACTTTATTTCTTTTTCAGTTTGTTTCTCATTTCATCCGGGTTGAAATCGGGTTGCTTCAACAAAGTTCCACTTAATTAATAAAATTAATTTTTGATTAATTTTATATGACAACAACAAATTTAGTAATTGAAATGACTTACCTGTCACTAACCATAATAGAACCTAAGTTGGTACAATCACAAAAATTACATTAGCAACCACGTTTTAATAAATGTTTTTTTCTTACCAGTTATATTTCGTGCATCATCACTTAGAAGAAAACTTGTAAGATTGGCAATATCCTCCGGTTGGGCAACGCGTTTCATCAACATTGACGGCGCCAGACTCTGAAAAAAAGCCTCACTTGAAGCAGCATCTGATCCCAATGATCTAAATCAAAATATTGATTGAACAATAACAGCGGTTGGCATTAGCTAGTTACAGTATTTACCTGGCAATTGCAGTTACAACTGGACCAGGGTTAACGGAGTTAACTCTAATCAACTTGGGTCCAAGTTCAAGAGCGCTTTAAACAAAAATATAAGATTTAAAAATTGAAAAATTAAAAAAAAATGTTTTTTACAAATATTTACCAGCTTTTTGTCACCATGTCCAAAGCGGCCTTGGATGTACTGTATACTAAACCGTACGGATGAATTGCTGAAAAATAACAAAAAAATGAATTAGTTTTGATTAAATCGATGAACTGATACCTCAACTCACCAGCAACCGAAGAAATGTTGACAATGGCCCCGGTTGTTTTCTCCAGGTAGGGCACCGCTCGCTGAGTGAGCTCAACGACACTTCGCAAATTCAGCTTCAGCACATTGTCAAACTCCTCCATCAGATTGTCGCTGCTTAGATCGCCTTTGGGCGACCCACCGCCGGCGTTGTTCACCAGGTAGTCGATTTTTCCGTACTTGGCCACGGTTTCAGTGATCAACTTTTGCGGAAAAGAGTCGTCAAGCAGATCGCCAATGATCTGCAGTGGGGTCACGCCGCCTGACGCCTTCAGCACTTGCTGAGCAACATTTTCCAGTCCGGCGGCAGATCGGCCGGTGATGGCCACATTGCAGCCATAAGAGCTAAGCTGGATTGCTATGGCGGCGCCAATGCCACTTGATGAGCCTGTCGTTTTTTGGTGACATTTTATTAAAATAACTGATTGTTTTGATTGCTACGTTGCACGTACCTGTCACAAGGGCAACCTGTGCAGAAAAAAAATGAATTTGTTATTAGATTAAAACAACTAATTTGTTAAACTAGTCAACTCACCTTTCCGGTAAAGTCGTACTTTTTGGAGGAAGACATGTTTCCAAACGGAAAGTAAAAGTTTTTCATAGAAAAGTGTTGTGCACTAAACACTGAAAAATGCGTAGTCGTTGTATGCTTTTATATACATTAATAAGAGATGTCCGACAACGGCTTAGGTGGCAGTGAAAAGGAAGCCACGTTATAAAAGCTTTGTGCCAAACAATGGGAATTCAAAAGCAAACAACGTTGACGGGTGATATGCGTGATAAGTGTTTGTAATAATCAGTCAAGGACAAATCAGTTTTAGGTACTATAGTGCTAAGCCTGTTTTTAGATAATTTTGACAAATTGACAAAAACAATTAAAATGTTGTTAGGAAGAAACATGGTAAGAAACAGCCAAAATGGCAATTCATGCACTTTAAATGCACTTTCATACTTGTTTATTTGTGACTTTTGACTGATAAAAATAGATAAATTTAAATTAGATTTTTATCAAATAACAGCTTGTAAATTAAAACTTTTTAAATGAAAAATTTATTTTTACATGTTTAGTCAAAATCTCAAACAAAAAACAATTTTTAACATTTTGATTATAATTTTTACACAGTTTTATTTAATTTAAACAATCAAAACATTTTAAGTTTATTTTTTGTAACAAATAAAGATAGATTTGCATGTTTAACTACAGAACATTTTTATAAAACAGCATTTTGTTTTTAATATTTCAACAATAGCAAGCAAAAAAGTGTTATGGTTCTTCAAATGAGTTATTTTTTAACATATTTTTTTTCTAATTCATCCGGAGCAAACTCTGGTGCCTTCAGCAAAGTGCCACTAAACAAATTAAATTAATTTTTAGTTAGTTTTGTGTAACAGGAAAAACTTTTTATTAAATTACCTGTCGCTGACCATGATAGAACCTGCGCGTGGTTAAAAACACGTTAATTTTAAAATATGAATAACAAATACAATTTTCTTACCAGTTATATTTCGAGCATCGTCACTTAGAAGGAAACTTGTAAGGTTGGCAATGTCCTCAGACTGGCCAACACGCTTCATCAACATTTGGGGAGCAATACCGTGAAAAACGGCTTCACTAGCAGCCTGGTCAAAACCCATTGATCTAGATCAAAAAGTTAAAAATTTTAAAACAATTAGCGAAAATTTGACTATAAATTGAGTAATACTTGCCGTGCAAAAGCAGTGACTACCGGACCTGGGTTGACTGAATTCACTCGAATCTGTTTTGGTCCCAACTCAAGCGCACTGTATAATCAATTAAAAAGGTTATTTAAGTTTACAAAAAGTTCTTCACAAAAACTTACCTGCACTTTGTAACCATATCCAGGGCTGCTTTTGAAGCACTGTATACAAGGGCATAGGGTTTAATTCCTAATAAATAAAAACCCGGTTAAAAATTTGTTATAAATGCAAACATGTGTAAACTCACCAGCAACTGAAGAGATGTTGACAATGCTGCCCTCAGTTTTCTCCAGATAGGGCACTGCTCGTTGAGTGAGCTCCACCACACTTCGCAGATTCAACTTCATGACATTGTCAAACTCTTCCAGCAGATTGTCACTGCTTAGATTGCCCTTGGGAGTTCCACCGCCGGCGTTGTTCACCAGAAAGTTTAACTGGCCAAACTTGGCAATCGTCTCGGTGATCAGTCGCTGCGGAAAGGCGTCATCGAGCAGGTCGCCGATGATCTGGAGCGGTGCCACTCCCCCGGAAGCTTTGAGCACCTCTTGGGCGACCTTCTCTAGTCCGGCGGCAGAACGACCGGTGATGGCCACTTTGCAGCCGTAAGAGCTCAACTGAACGGCAATGGCGGCGCCGATGCCACTTGAGGAGCCAGTGACCAGGGCGACTTTGCCGCTGAAATCGTACTTCTTGCTTGGAGACATCTTTTACAGTTTTTTGGGCGATAACTTTGCTTTTTTGTTTGATGCAGTCCAGTGCTGTCGGTTGTGAAGCTGACTAGTGGAACTGGCTGTTGGTTATATACCTGAGCACGAAAAGTCCGCCGCAAGTGCTGTGCACTGCACTAAAAGTACTGCTGATTGTGAGAAAGTGAGAGAGAGGCAGCTGCAGCAACCCCACATCCTAATTATGCGCTCTACACAATTGGAATTCTAAAGCTGAGAGGCAGCAACAGCAACAGCAGCAAAAGCCGGGCGGCAGTGGCAGCAACGAGTGAGTGATATGCATCGGTAAGTGTGCCAAGTGCCTGGTGATCGCCACTCAAGGACAAATCGGTCTCCCTCTGCTTTTTCGTTCACTTGTTTCTCTTTATTTTACTACCACCACCACAACCATTGGCACTCTGTATTTGCTTTTAAAGTTAGATAATGACCATCACCACCACTATCGACTCAGTGCTAGCGTGTTGACAGCCGTTCGAAGAGGAGTAGTGAAGAGGAGCAACAGCAACCAAAATGGGCAACTCATGCACTGGAAGTACAAATGCAGTGACAGCTAGCTGACTAACACTTTCACATGCAAAAAACGGCGCCTCTTTTCATTTTCTTTTTCTCTTTACCTTAGCGTAAAAAAGATGTCATTTTAAATTTGCAAGTAATTAGTCAAAGCGCATTGCTTCCTGATAAAACCTTCTGTTTGTTTATGTTTTGAAATACTGTAGTGCATTGCTGTTTTATTAATGATGCAATAAGTTGTAAGGCAAAACTAATGAATTAGCTTGTTTGAAAAATGTTAGTGCACTTTTAAGTGCAAAATTTTTGAATAATGACATGATTTATAAATAACTTTTATTGTTAAATTATAACGCTTCGTAAATTTTTTATGCAGTGTAAATGTATTTTCTTTTAAAAAATATAAAATTGAAACTGAATTAAAAATAAAATATTTGTAGGTAATCACAACGTCACTACGATAAAAAGTCATAAAAAATTTTCTGTGCAACAACAAAAAAACTAGTTTTTAAAATCAAACTTCACATTAAATATTTGTTGTTTTTACAAACTTATTTTTTTCTTAAATTAATTCAATCTTACCATAAAAAAATATCGCATAGACACTTTTTAAAATCGGCCATACGTCATTCTGTAAAGCTGATTGCAACAGATAAAAAGTAAAACTAATGAAAGATTCATATGAAAACAACATAAAATTTGCCCGTTAAAATAACAATGTTAGCGGCAACTCAGATGATCACAGAAATTGGACCGACAAAATGTTTAGAAAAATACCAGAAAAGCAAAAGTGCATTGTAAAAAACACAACGCCTGAAATACTAAATACGTGGTCATGTACACCTATCCAATTTTTGAAAACAGTTTAGTAAAAATAATGACAAAACAAAATGAATTTTTATGGGCATGTTAAAAGCAATGAATAGTAAAAACAATTGCCCCTTTTAAACGGTTGTACAGTTAAAAATACCCTAACACATCAACAGTGTGTTTTTGATAAGTTTAGTAGTTCAATTTTTTTTGCGGGGTTGCACTTTTTTCTAGAATCTTCTACTAAAATTTAGCACAAAATCATTAACATGTGTAGCAATTGCTGCTACTTTATGACTGCTTTGCGCTGCCAGGTCAGTTGATCCATCTAGTCAGCTCATGTTATTGTCTGCATGTACTCTTCGTCTCCTTGTCATATGTTTCAAGTCAAAACGCAAACCAAACGTTTTCGCTATTGAGTTCATTAAAATTTGTTGGTCATTGATTTTAAACTTTTTTCTGCTTTCAAATTTGCACTTTTTACCCCTGGTTATCAACTATTAGCTTTTTCAAACTCATTAAATCAAAAACTATTAAAACTCTGAAATGATTAAAAAGATAAAATGTTTATTTCTTAAAAATGGTCTCCTCTAAACAATACTTTCATAACCTTGCGGCCTCGAGCTCTTCTTCACCACCTGGTACACCGTCTGGCCAATGGTGACGAGCATGTTGTAGCCGCCGTAGATGATGAGAAAGATGCCAAAGAGCAGGCTGACAATCTGGTCGAGGTAGGCCACCGAGTCGGAGTAGCAGATGCTGACGGCGGCCACTGCGGCGAAAAGCGCCGAGATAAAGCTGTTGACGCCCTCGATGAGCATCGAGTTGGAGCGCAGAAAGAGGTACACCACCAGCTTTGCCACCATCAACAGCAGGTTAAGGGCAAAGGAGATCAGCGCCAGAATGTACAGCGGCTCCATTGCTGAGGTGATGGCCGGTGAAGAGGAGGAAGAGGAGGAATCAAAGGACTGGACGCTGTAGCTGATGACCAGTTCGGTGGCAGCCTCGTCTGCTCCACCGGCCACTTCGACTGCCTCGACGAGCAGCACGTGCGAGAGGACCTCGACGAGGGTGCGCACCACCACGCCGATGCCGCTGACGATCATCACCTGGCCCAGCCAGAAGGTGCTCCACAGCTCGCGAATGTGGTCCTCAGCGTCGTGGCCGCTGATGGTCGTGTCCTCTTCGGCGATGCTCCGGCACGACTCGAGCAGGTCAAACTTTGCTAGGCCACTGCCGCTGCCATTAGCTGTCGGCACTAGTCGTCCTAGCCGAGTTTGCTGTTTGCTGTTGTACAGCAGGCTGCTGCTTTCGGTGAAGCTGTTCAGGTAGTACAGGCCGCTGGACGACTGCTGTTGTTGCTGTTGCTGCTGTTGTTGATGTTTAATGAGGTGCTCGTGTTTGGCCGAGGCAAAGCGCCAGATGAGAATACAGGAGGTGATGGTGCCTGGAGTAGAGAAAACAAAAAGGGTTAAAACAAGGTTTTAGGTTTAGAAGCGAGTTACCATCAACTTACCAATGACGCAGTCCATGCCAAAGGCGCAGTAGAGCGAGTTAAAGCCGTACCAGAAGGTGGCAACGGCCAGTGCCAGGTTGATGACGTTCGCTGCGGCGGCAATCTGCAGAGCCACATTGAAACGCAACAGGTACAAGGCAAAGGTGGTCTTTGAGAGGTCTTTGGAGCTGCTCTTTGAGGACTTGCCGTTCTTCTTGAGGAAGTTGCTTTTTGAGTGCACTCCAAGTTGTTGGTAGTGCTGGTGCAGCGCAGAGCTGGTGAGCAGATTCTTCTGCATCATGCTTTCGGTTTTGAGGTGCTGGTGAATCATTGTGAGTAGGTGAATAAGGGGTTGATTGATTGATTGAAAGTGAATAAAATTGAAGTTCGTAAGTAAATGTGTAAAGTATAGCTGGTAAATGTTGGTGTCTGTTTTGAAAAAAGATAAAAAAAGTTAGTTTTTTGTTTATAAAAAGTAGTGTTTTGAACTAAAAAAATACCTAAAAAGTGTGTTTAGACTTCAAGAATGGTAAAACGCCTGATCCTTCGTCGGTGGTGGCTGTTGGGCGTTGGTGATGGCGGCGGTGAGTGCCCTCAGTGCGTCCAGGTCAAGACAGTGGCAGCAGATGAGCAGTGTGTGGTTGCGTTTTCGATTCGGCCAGTCCAGTGGGCTCGGCGGACTGCTGTGCTTGCTGTTGATGCTCTGGGAGGTGGTGTTCAGTGAGGCGGTCACTGAAGAGGCTTCCGGTGGGCTCAACATGAAAGGGGCGGAAATGATAGAAGAGAAGAGGGCGGAAAAAGGAGGAAGGTCACAACGACAAATCGAGTGACGCGTGCAAAGCGGTAGGTTCGTGTGAGTTCGGAAAATCACAAGAATGAGCGAGAATGGCGGTCTATAGAGGTGAACATTGAAGAGAAGAAGTGAAGAAGTTGGGCCATAAAAGGGATTTGAAAAAGGCTGAAGAAAAAGTTTAAAAATGTTTGAAGGATTTCAGAGTGAAAAAGAGAGGTGCACAGTGAAACTGGGATGAATTGCTGTGACTTGCTCGCTCAAAAGCGGAAAGCTGGCTGGCCTAGCACTGCAACAATGGGCCACTTTTATAGAAACGAAGTGTGTTGGTCTCTGGGGAAAGAACCACAAACTGCGGCAATAACAACAATTTGAGTGCTGATAGTAGCTGAATGGGTGTGGGCATAGTGGCTCCACTGATCGATTGCTGATCAATTGAAAAGAAGAAAAAAAGGAGGAAGAAAGAGGTTTGAGATAAAGTAGGCAAGTAGGGTGGGGAGCTCTTTCTGGCAGTTAACTGGTGAAGGAAAAGCAAAGGAAGCAGAAAAGGTGCTAGTAAAAAGAGAGATCAAGATTAGATTAGTAAATCTTTCAGGAGGAAAGTTTCAGTCGTTTAAGTTAAGTCGTTTATTTCAAAGTAAACAATGCTACTGAATGTACTGGATGCAGAAAGTACAAGTATTGTTTCAAGTGGTGAAACTCTCTAAGTAAACATTCAGAATTAGTGGTAACCAGTGTGTTTATCTTCGCAGTACAGTACATTTAAGAAAGTACAAGAATGTACTGGAAAAAACACGTGCATTCGAGGTGATTGTCATTTGCGATGATGTGAAAAGGGCAGGTCACGCACGGTGCCACCATCACCACCACCACCACCACCACCACCACCAATCATCTTCATCACCCTCATCATCAGCTGCCCTTGCAGTTGGCCCTATCTGACGATTGGTGGGTTTGGGAAAGATGATACGATGAAAGATGGTGTAAAGAGATAGGACCAAATGAAGAAGTGTCGTATCAAGGAAAACATCCCCAAAGCAAAGTTGATTTTAGCTGATTGGTGATTGATACCGACCGGAAGTAAGGCGAGGGTTGTACCTGCTTGTCGTCTGATTCAGAAAAAGAGAGATTTACAAAAAATGTTGTCTTTGCCGTTAGCAACTGACACACACTCATCCTCTCTGACCTTTGCTCTGACTACGCCGCCTGTGTCACGTGTTTTTGCCTGACAGTGTGCCTACTTCAATGACGAAGCACTACTACTGTGCCGTGCAATCGCGCACATTTGTAGAAACCGAGTGTCGCAAACGACCACAAAAAGTACGTCGAGAGTGATAAGAGGAAGACAAAAATGTGCAACCCACAGAAAAAAATTGGGGAAAACAAGAGCACAACATGTACAACGTGCGATTTGTACTTTTCCATTAGTAAATGCAGGTGAGGGTGATTTTGTTGTTAAAAATTCTTTTGTTTTAAAATCTCTCAACTTAAAGTTAAAGATTAGCTGTGCAAAACAAAAATATGACCGTAATCTGATGCTAAACACGAGACTTGATGTGCATGCAAGCACGTTCTTCTAAACACTACCCTGAAGTGAAGATAAGTGAACCGAAGTGAAATGTGCTGAATGAAATGGAAACCTGATACATCTCCACAGGAAATCGGTATCTACGGTAGTCACGGGGGCAAAGATGCAATTGCTGTTGCTGGTAGCAGAGCGTTGTGATCGAGTGCTGTGCCTCTGTGAAAGTGCAAAACTGAAACAAATCGAGGATATTTTTCACCGATAGATAAAGTAGCTGATAAAGTTGTCAGTTTAGACCGGTTAGGATCAGCAACAACAGAACGGTACTAGGAGGGAAAACGTGCTCGACTGCAAACAAACAAACAAACAAACAATTGCTTACGGAGGCCAGCCAATTGTGAGGGTTCAGCTGATGGTCGATTTCTTGTGATTTATCGAAAGTATAACGCGTTTTATCATTTGCAAGTAAATCAATTGGTTGCAAATGCTGCGTTTAGAATGTTGTCAATTTTGTTTTGTTCACTTATTATTTGCCTAAAATTGCTGTGAAATGCCATTAATATTAATCGACACTACCCAACTTGTCAAGGATCCAATTTTCTCACAAGTTTGTAGTAAAAAATGTAAACTAAACAACGTACTTCAACTACTACTGATTTAGCTTACTTTACTAAATGGCCTGATCTGATCTTCAGTTTTTGTTATAAATACGTCAAAAGAGACCTTGTTTAGTTTCTGGTGCAAACGGTACTTTTAGAATTGGGTAGCAAAAAAGCTTATATATAAACTAAAAATACAAATCGGCAATATCACATGGGTTTTCTTATCTTTTAATCTGCCAATTTAATATGAAGCAATGCCGATGAAGTTTTCTTCACATTTAGCGACAAATCTTGACAAGGTTTTCTGATATAAACGCAACAATCTTACTGATTGATCTGACAGTAAAAAAAATGTCATTCGAATTTGTAGACGTAATTTTAATAATATGTTTTATTGTTGTATTAAATTTCAATTTTATCTAACAAGGGCAACTAAAAGTACAGTTAAACTTTTTGAAAAAAATTACCAAAAAACAAATTATAAGGAAATTTTTCTTATTACTTCCTTGTCAAGATACCTTTAACAATCAGACAGTTATTATTTAGTCATCCCGTTTTACTCATTGACCTCATTTGTCGCATATTTAGTAGCAATCCAAACAACTAGCAAAACTAATGCTGCAACTTGGGAATGACCGACTGACGCCAACAGGAACTATCTAAGCTAGCGAACGTCAATGTAAATCTAAACATTATTGATATTTTATCAACTATTACGATATAATGTCAGTTTGCACTTTTCATAGCAAATGTAAACTTCTGGAATTGATCTGCACACTTTAAAAAATGAGCATTTGTCTGCAAGCAGCAGTCATTATGTGTGAGACCAGTAAGCGGTTATCTGTACAATATTAGCACAGGTTTTATTAATTGTTTTTTGAGCATTCTTAAAGTTACAAAAAAAGTGCATATTGATAAACGCAAAAGTCAATGCTAAGATTTAACAGTTTTTTTGTTATTAAATATACTACTAAATGTTAAATGCTTCAACGTTGCCCACATGATTATTTTTTTTATTTCATCTTGATTGTTTTGCAAAATTTAGTTTTTTTAATTGATATTTCAAAAACATGTTAAATGTAACGTTATGCAGTCGGTGGCCGAGCGGTTTAGGCAATCGACGTTGATGCCTGAGGAGCGCGAGTTCGAATCCTCGTGTTCGGCTGCGCGGCCCTCACCCAGGGTTAATGGGGAGAGCTCTGCCCACTGGCCGCTCAGTGTGGAGACTCTAGCTTTGAAGAAAGGCGCCTCTGGCGTCTGTCAGGATAGGCTGTCTGTCAAGCCACTGACTTAAATCTCAAAAAGTATGGATCATGTGGCCCACAAGGGTAGTCAGGATCCTTCCTCTCGGAGGACTGCAACTGACTTAAAACGAGGCTTTTTTATGTTAATTGTAACGTTATAGTTTGCTGCATTACTTTAAACTACTCACTAATAAAAAATTTGTTTTAGTTTAATAAATTGTAAATTTAACACACAGTTGTAAATGTTAAACAGTTAAAAATAGTTTTGCTTGTAGTCAAAGTTTATATGTTTTTTTCATTTAAAAATTAATATTGCTAAAAAATTTCAATAACAAACTATTGATTCAAACATGAAAAAACTATTTTATTTTAACAGGATAATTATTTTGTAAGCAAAACTAATACTTATCATTTAAAAAATAAAACAAACAAACAACTTTGTAGTTGTTATTAACAAAATATTAATAAATTACATTTGTAACAGTTTTGAATTTTTTCATTTGATAAGTTTTTATGTTGCAAAAAACGTTTAATGAGCACAAAAGATTAAAAATAATTTGCCTAAAAATCAGCTAACATATGATCAGTAGACAAGTGATGGTTTTTTACTCTTTAGCGTTGCTTGTGCGTCTGTTTGTTAATTGCCGACGACGAGATAGTCAAAAATGAACAGTTCTTCATGAACAGGTAGCTCGGGGTAGCACTGTCAGTAGAGCCGGACAACTTCATTACATCTCTACTTGACTAGTATCTGTAATCACGACGGCTGTTTTGACACACTGTTTCATACTTTTTACAAATGATTAGATGTACTGCTTTTGTCCGTGCACTTCACTAGAGGGCCATATAAACTGATGTTTGTTATGGCGGTTTTTTAGCAGTACTATTCATCTTGTTTTAAAATTATTACACTACACTTCTACACTTCTACTGACTACTTTTTTTGACACAACCCGAACAATGGATTACTGGACTATTGCCTTGCAAATTGCTACTGTTTTGGCTCTTGGTTACTAGTAAGTGGTAGTATTAAAAGTGGACGTATTAAAATAACAAACAATCTTTTTAATCGAATGTTCCAGTTACCTAAGCCGCAAGTACACTTACTGGAAGGACCGCGGCATTACCGGCCCACCACCGACACTTGCTTTCGGCAATCTCTGGGACCTGTTGAGGCACGGACAGGTCAAGAAGGAGTTGGAATGGGTGAAAAAGTACGGAAAAACGTACGGCATGTACCAGGGCTTTGTCCCAAGGTATACCGTTGCTGACGCAGAGCTGATAAAAACTGTTCTCGTGAAGGTCAGTGTTTGCTTTATCAAAACTTACTCTATTGCTAACAAAAAAACTGTGCGGTGTTTCTCTCAAAAAGGATTTTGCGGTGTTTGTAAACCGAGACGTCAACCGATTTGACCATGAAATCTGGACGGCAAACCTTTTTAATGCTGAATCTGAGCAGTGGCGACGCATTCGCGCCATTACCAGGTACGCTGTTATTGAATGGTTAAAGTTCAAATCAGAAACTAACTGTTTACCATCTCAGTCCCTCATTTACCACAGGCAAACTAAAAGGCATGCATGGACTGATGAATCGAGCGGTTGAAAAATTGGGCACCTACTTTGACAACCAGATTGCAAAGTCAAACGGAGAAATGAACATCAAAGAAGTGATCACTGGATTTACTGTGGACGTCATTGCGTCCACTTCATTTGCCACCGACACAAACACCAACGGCGACCGAAGTGGCAGTAATGTTTTTCTGGAAAACAGCATTGGGTTGCTAGACTTTAAAGCGTGGATTTTGCTCTCTTTTTTTGCCATGCCAAAACGCTTTAACCGCCTAGTTGGCGCTGAACTTGGCTTTAACATGAAACCTTTCCAGTTCTTTGTTGACCTTTCAAAAGCAATTATAAGGCAACGACAGACAGAAAAGGATAACAAGATCAAGCGAACTGATCTAGTGCAACTCATGTTAGACGCATTTATCTACGAAGATGAACTCCAGGAGAAGAACTACGACAAACTGACAGCAACGGCCGACAATGGTATTTGTGTTTGCAAAAATAGTTCACTCAAATATTTAACTTCTTCTTCGTAGACGAACATCTTGAAGTTGACAAAAAGTCCAATACCGCTGAAGGCTCAATTCGCAGGCAGCTTTCCGAAAATGAAATTGTAGCCCAGTGTATTCTCTTTTTTGTTGCTGGTAAGTGTGAACGACTGGCAGCTCTGATCACAACACATTTTAACCGTTGCTTACATTTGTTACAGGCTTTGAAACTACCGCCACGGTATGTGATTTTTAGTTTTGAATCATTTAAAATCCAACTATTGACCTGCCTAATCAATCCTCCGTAGACACTCTCCAACGCTCTGTACCAGCTGGCGATTCACCCTGAGAAGCAGTCAATTCTGGCTGAGGAGCTGCGGCAGGCGCTGGACGGCGTCGAGGTGGACTCCGCCGAGTACTTCGACAAGGTGAACAACCACATTCCCTACCTGGAGGCGACCATCAAGGAGACGCTGCGAATGTGTCCGCCGGTGACGCGACTGCAGCGCCGGGTGGGCGTCGACGGCTACAAACTGGGCGGACAGCCGCTAGAGAAGGACACCCACGTCGACCTGGCCGTCTACGCGGTGCACCACTCCGCAGAGTACTACGAGGATCCAGACACCTTCCAGCCGGAGCGCTTTCTGCCGGAGAACAAACACAAGCTGGTCCCCTACACCTACCTTCCATTTGGCGCTGGTACGTTTTTTTACATGATTATCAGTAGTTTCAGTTGCTATAAACTTGTTCTTTTCTTTCTTAAGGTCCTCGAAACTGGTAAGTTAAACTTGAATTTAAAAATGAAAAAAGTTTTTAAAAGTCACTGAAACTTACTGAATTTTTCTTACAGTATTGGCATGCGATTCGCTTACCAGGAAATTCGCCTCTGTCTGGCGAAGATTGTCCGCGATTTCGCTTTTGCAACGACGCCCAAGACAAAGGTGCCGCTGGAGTACAACAAGTTTGGTCTTCTCAGCTGCAAGGATATTCCGCTTAAAGTGAGCAAACGGGTGTGAAAGTTTGCTTTTTGTGTGTACATTTAACTTAAATTTATGTAACGTTTGTTTATTAAAAAAATTGACCACAGTCACTCCTCGCCGCGTCGAGGTTTGCTAAATCACACTTAAAATTTAATCAATAGCTCATCTAGTGTTCGGTGGCTAGTTTTTTTTAACCTGAATTGTTTAAACACAATGCGTTTAGTAACGTCATTTTCTTTTGTTAAAACTACACTTTTTACTATAAGAATATAAAAAACAATAATAAAAATTAAAAATACGTTTAGTTGTCGCAATTTATAACTAAAAAAATTTAAACATGCATTGACAATTAAATAGTCGGTGCTGCTGATGCTGTATTTACTGCTGTTTTGCCAAGGTCAGAGTTTTCATTATCAAAACTAATTTTGTTGCTAACACAAAAACTGTGCAGTGTTTCTCTCAATTGTTGAGTTGCGTGCATTTGCCATGTGACTGCCCAAAACACACTGCTCATACTTGCGTGGGTACATTTTGACAAAACATTAGAATATTTTGTATACTTTTTAAGTGTTAAAAATGATGAAAGTGAAAAAATGTAAAATCTGCAAAGGAAGTGCCTCTGGTATGTATTGTTTTATAAAATTTAAAAAATAAAATTTGCATTTATTTAGGTTTTAACTACAACTGTTTATCTTGTCACTCGTGCAAAATTTTTTTTCATAGAAATTATGATAAACAAAATGTAAGTTTTTGTTATAATTGACTTAAGTAGCGGCCCATAGGCCGCTAGCGACGTGGCTTTGAGAGTTCGAA